TCACACAGGAAAGTCATAATTATCTTTGCAAGCCTTATCTCACAGAAATAAAGGGAAAAAACGGCAAAAGTTTACAAAACTAACACAGCTAGGAAGCATCACCTAGTAGAATGTTCAGCTTACACAACGAGGCTTGAAATCCTGTCTGCTGAGCTTCACACATTTCAAAAGGGACCCAGCTTGATGCTAAATGCATTAGAACTGGAATAACACCCTGCCTCTGAGGTCCAGAGGCACAAAAAGTGGTGGTATACCGTTAACCCAATAGTAATGAAAGAGTTAAAAGTATCATCATAGTGTATAAAAAAAGCAGCTTGAAAGCAAGTTTTTAGAAACATCATTTTACAAAGAAAGGTATACATTATTTTAAAGCCTATATCATTGGTGTCTTTTTAAAAAATATAGAACAGTCGTGAATCAGTTGAGCATAAAAGATGTCTATCAGGTGATGTTGAATCAATAATGTATAACACTATAAATATTAATCAAATATTTATCAAAGTGCTATGGAATATTAAACCAAGTATGAAACATGGTACCTTTCCTTGAGAAGCTTATGGTTTACGGGAAAACTTACCGTTATCAACTATGAGAGAATACATCTTAATTCTTTAAATACATAAAAGAATATTCATATCACTTATTAAGACTTCAGAGTAATTTCTTTTATAAATAGGGGAAATAATTCTACGTCATACTGAAACTTTAGCAATCATAGAATCCCTTGGATTACAAAAAAAAGAAAAAAATCGAACCCATTGCCATCAAGTCAATTCCAACTCATAGCGACTCTATAGAACAGTAGAACTGCCCCATAGGGTTTCCAAAGAGTGGGTAGTGGATTCCAACTGCTGACCTTTTGGTTAGAAGCTCTTAAACAGTGCCTGGCACATAGTAGATGCTCAGCAAATACTTGTTGCATGGGTTGTTATATGCCAGGCAATTTGTTAGCTTTTTAAAAATTATCTCCATTTTAAAGATGAGGAGCTTGAGGCAGAGTGAAGTTAAGTAAGTTGTATAAAAATACAACAAGGAAAATAGAGCCTGGATTGAAACCCAGATAAACTTGACTGTAGAGTCTGTGATCTTAACCACTCCATTGATAATAGTAGTAGCATAAGCAGTTTATTCACATAAGTTTTTTCTTTTCTGTATTCCCCACTCAAAATTATATATTTGTTAAAAGGGGAAGTTGTTGACCATTCAGACTCCTGAATTACCAGCTTCTTATACTCCTTGACTCTGCAGATCTACAGACTAGCATGCCCCTGCTTTGAAACTCAACATTACCCACTATGCTTCCTTTGGGCTTTTTCATTTAGCCCTCTTCTTCCTCCGCCAGAGCTTCCTTTTCTATCATCTGTACCATTGCACTCTCAAATCTTTTACCTCTACCTCTGGTCCTTCAGTCCCATCTACTTCATCTATTAGCTTTTTTCTGTCTGCGTAATATAATATTTCTCATTTATTCTGTTTGTCTTAACTAATCACTTCATCTTTTCCTTAAAACTAAACCTTCCAGGTAGATTCCCAAAATAATTGAAAGCAGGGACTCAAATATACTTGAACACCAATGTTCATTACAGCATTATTCACAATAGTCTGAAGGTGGAAACAATCTTAAGTGTTCATCAGTAGGTGAAGGGATAAACAAAACATGGTATATACATATTGTTGTTAGCTACCATCAAGTTGGCCTCTGACTCATGGCAACCCCATGCACAACTGAACACTGCCCAGGTCCTGCATCATCCCCATGATCGATTGTGGATAAGGCCGTTGTGATCCATAGGGTTTTCATTGACTGATTTGCAAAAGTGGCTTGGAGGCTCTACTTTTGCCTTGAAAAGGAATGAAGTTCTGATACATGCTACAACATGGATGAACCTTGAAAACATTATGCTAAGTGAAATAAGCCAGGCACAAAAGGACAAATATTTTATGATCCCATTTACATAAAATATCTAGACTAGACAAATGCATAGAGACAGAAGGTAGATTATGGTTTACCGTGGGCTGGGGGTGGGTGGGAAATGGGGAATTATCGTTTAATGTATACAGAGTTTCTGTTTGGGGTAATGAAAAAGTTTTGGAAAAAATACTAGTGATAGTTGTACAACATCATGAGTGTGGTTAATGCCACTGAATTGTGCCCTTGCAAATGGTTAAAATGAGAAGTTTTACGTTGTGTATATTTTATCACCACCACAACAACAAAAAAATGAGCCTTTCAACTATAGTCATCCCAAGGAGGTGCATGACCCAGGGCGTACTTCTGCTGCTTTTCTCTTTTTCTCCCTTTGTTATTCCCATTTATAATATGACTGTAATAATATCTGCCTTTACTGTTTTGCATGTGTTATAAAATAATAAAATGCATGAAAAAGCACTTCAGAAAGTTTAATATACTATAGAAATATATGGGATTATTATTTCAACTTTCAAGTAAAATTAGGTTAAAATTAAGATTTAGGCAGCTTTGATGGATACAACTTTTCTGCACCATAGTTATAGGTGGATTATTTATTAGTAAAGGCTTTCAGGATAATAGCTGAAACACAGCCTCAGTTTGCCCCTTAAATGCCTTATCAGATAAGAAAGTCTGAAATTCCTTCTGACCTCTCAATTGCTCTTTCTCCCTACATGCTTGAACTATATCCTATTTCTATAATGGCTAGCTCTCTCCAAACTAATAGAAGTATATTAGTCAGTATTCTTAATTGGAAACTGATTTAGGCAGCAAAGGAATTTGTTGAAAGGATATTGGTCATCTTAGATTTGGAAAATGGTCAGAAACAAGGGAGGCTGTGCAGTATCTCAGACCAGAGTCAAAATCATGGCATAATACCAATTTCCACTGCCATTCACTGTATACTACAGCTTGCATTGTCACTGTTGACCACTCTGGATGCTGTCGCTGTTGCTGCAACAGCCATCGCTGTTCCTGATCCAATATCTGAGATAGGAGCATCTGATTAACAGAGCCTGGATATATGCTTATATAATAGTATCTGGCATTTCTAGCTTCTCTAGTGGGCAGTGGGCTTTTAAAAGGTAGAGTTTCTCCAAATACAAAAGGGGTTCAGGTGCTGTGTAGTTAAGTGTCCATGAGAGACTTTGAAAGTCAGATCCTTGAGTATTTAAAATGACCAATATACACACAACAATTGTACAATTACACCACTACCGAAGCTGGTATGTCAAAATTTTAATGTATTTGGTTGGTACCTGCTGAATTGATTGAGCATGCAATTTCACAAATGAAGACTTTTTTTTTTAATTTTTATTTTTTACATTCTGTCCTTTCTTTAAATTCCTGTTCAATTCCACCCTCCACAGCATTGCCAGGGTTATTTTTCTAAAATGCAAACCTTGTATCAGTCTCAAAATCCTTCATCGGTTGATTCCCCGTTGCCTGTAGGATAAAATTCAAACCCTTTGGCTTGGCATACAAATCTCTTTCAATATCTGAATCCTTCCAAATTTCCAACCACAACAACCAATACTCTATCCCCCCTCCCTGCCCCAATGCTGCAGCCACGTCGTGTTGGTTCTGTTTCCCTGAAAAATACCATTCTCTTTCATGTTTCTGTGCCTCTGTGCAGATAGAACCTTTTACCTAGAATGTGTAGCCCTTTTTTGTCCTTTTTGCAAATTTATCCTTAAAGACTCAGTTCAAATACCACCTTTTCCTGTAATACCTTCTTGATGCCCTCAACCAAATTGTTTCCTCCTTTACACTTCCTGTAAATTCCTATATTATAGCACTCATCACGTTGTATTGTACAGGTAGTCCTACGATGTGTTAGGGTTATGACAAACTGCACTTACGACCTCCGTTTTGTTTGTACATCTTATCATTAGTAATATGTACTACATACAGTGTTTGAGCATGTAATTTGCTGATGTTATCATTCCTAGATATTCACTCACAGATGTTCAATTTTATGATTTACTCTTCAAAACACTGCTGTATAGATTTAGTTTTCTAAACTAAATCAGGGCCTTCAGTTGCTTGAAAACACAGACCCAAACACTTACAACTTTTTTAAAGTTGATGGGCAGATTCTGGAAGCAGTGAGATGTTACCGCAAATATATGAAGAAAAAAAGAAAAGGACCATACAGACAACTCTCACTAGTTTTCTTACTAGAAATACCATTCCCATTCCCAGGGATAATCCAGATGGTCTAGAACCTTCCACAAGTGGAGTTGTCACCTCAGCTGACAAAATGCCAACGTCTAACTCTTCATCATCGGAGCAAATTTTTGTGAATTGTGTATTTTTTTTATGTGTGTATGTATGTTTTAAAATATATCTGAAAGTTTGTATGTAATGTTTCCAACCTCTAGAGACAAAGATCAGTTTATAAAGATACTGATAATAAAAGGCAGTAATAACGAAAACAGAAAAAAATATTCAACTTACATCAGAGCTGGCTTACAACAGAGTTGGGGATTACCGTATTGCAACCCGATTTACAACATTTTTTTACATGTTGTAAAAAAAAAAAAATTAGCACAGTGTGCATACGAAAATACCTTGCAGAGGGGAGGGAGCGGTTGGCAAACAAATGTAGAAGGTGCGTGTTATTTGCGTAAAAATACAGTAATTATTTCTTACATAAATTTTTCTTTTAAGGTGCTAATCAGCTAGAGAATTGAGAATCCTTTATTATCATCTTTTTATCTCAGAAGATGTTTGCTGAATAAGTAATGAATGAAAACACCCTACTTCTGGTTGGTCAGTTCATTTAGTTAGTGCCCTCTTTTTAAGATCCAAGATTATGCATTCTATCCCTGTGTGATTGCATTCCTGTGTTGGCTGATCTTACAAGGGAACTAGGGAAACTAGACCTTGATGAGCCAGTAATATTATCTTGACACATGAAATGTAGCAAACTATGAGTTTAAAGGTGGACTTTTGAAATTGTCAGGAACATACGTTGCTTATATGAAATAAACTGACTTTTCTGTTTGATATGTTTCTTATCTTAAAGGAACTAAAAAAACTAACCTCGGACTTGATAAAGTCCAAGGTCACATGTCAGTATAAAATGGGAGAAGAAAACATCAATCTCACAATTAAAGAACAGAAATTTCAAGAACTTCAAGAAAGACTCAATATGGTATTTAATTAAATGTATTCATTTTTACTATATTAGTCTTTTTAGAAAAATTTATGAAAATTTAAGGATCATAACAAAAAATGTCCTATATGAAGTTAATATACATAGTAAAAAAATTTCAAAATATAATCTGTTTTTAAATTATTAGGTAATGTTTGCCATTAGCAAGACTTTGGGCCAATAAAATTTGGCTATACTAATTTTAGCCCCACTTTAATGTGGTATCAGATAATCTTGTGGTACGATGGTATCTACAGAACAGCTTTTGGAGATGAGAAATTCTGTCATTTTAACATTAACATTTATAAGTTTGCACCAGATTATACTGGGCTTCTGACACCTTCTTCAGGTCACTGGAGTTAACTGGTTCAGTACAAGAAAATGTGAGGTAGTCTGGAGTAATAATAGGTGATGCCACTCCAAATTTGTTGAGCATTTAATTGAATGTAGAATTTGCTGGATTTTATAACTTTAAATTCAAATTTTTAAGGAATTGGAATTAAATAAGAAGATTAATGAAGAGAATGCCCACATTCAGGAAGAAAGGCAGGTAAACGATTATATGATATTTTGGAAACCAGTAAATGTTTTAAAATTAGCTACAATGTAGGGAATAAACAAATTAAATAACAAATGGAATCATGTCTAGGTCAATGCCCAGCAAAGTGGGCACTCATTTAATGTGCATTGAATGGACACATATGTACCTTTTTAACCAAGTCTCAAATATATGTCCATTAAAAGGAAATCGGTTTTTTCCTTGATAGTTTAATGTGACCCTAGCAGATAAATATTGAAATGTATGTATGCTTAATGCATGATTGTTTAGGTCATTATATTATCATTTGAATTGATTTAGTATTTATAATTCTTCTATAAAAAGAAAAAAGATGTGTAAAAGAAAATATACCCTGTTTCTATTTTTCTCTTTATTTTTTCCTTCATTTGATTCCATATACATCCTGGCCTATTTGCACTATGACATTATAGTAGCAATATATTTACTGTTTTGTTGGGGAAGCCAACAAAATTTTATTTAGTTTTAAATTCTTCACATTTTTCAATAGTGTCTCAGAATCTGCATTCCATTTCAAAGAACTTTGTTAATTATTTAAAGGACTTTTAGAACAATACTTTACAATATAAATTATTTTAGATATTAAGTTAGTAAAGTATGACAGTATTGAAATGAAATTACAGTGAAATCTGGAACCCGTGTAAGGTGGAAACCTGTCAGAGAAGGAAAATTCAAATATTTTCCACTAATAGAGAGCAATAGAAAAATGGTAAGACTGCACCATGTTAAAGCCAGAAAACTTGGCAAGACCTGGAAAAACAAGACAGTCCCTTTGAATTCCGGCTCTCACAGGTTTCAACTTATAAAGAAAATAAGTTAAAAAACTAGAATATGTATTTGAAGAATGAATTCAGAAACATAACTATCTTAAGTTTTTCTGCTGATGTATAATATTTATACTTTTTTTCAAGAATGTCATCATTTCTTTTCAACATATGCAGCAGTTACTTCAGCAACAGACTCAAGCTAATACTGAAATGAAGGCAGAGTTGAAGGTGCTAAAAGAAAATAATCAGGTTGTATTTTCCTTCAGTATATTTCCATCTAATGAGCTTCACCTGTTTAGTTGCATTCACCTATCCAACTTTATCAAGATCAGTGTCTCAAGTAATGAACATATTTTTTTCAACATCTAACTCACAAGTCAAATATTGAATTTTATTAAGTATCTAATTTCATTTTGTAACAGGATGAGTGAGGTTTTTTTTTCTTTTGGAATTGTGTTCAAGGCTCAAAACTCAAAAAGGGGCTAAGTATCACCGCATTCTAAGAGAGCAATCAGTGAGCTTCCAGAAGTTGGAGTGATATCCCTCTTCACAGGAATTTGTTATAACTGGCTGTATTACCACCACAATCACCCCATCATCCTCTCTTCAGTATATATAAGAAAATAACTAGGGAGGGGAAGAAGTTATGGTGATTGTTTTGGGATTCTTGATTGTTCAAGAAGAGAGGCTTTCTCACCTCTCCAGGGGAAGAGGATGCATTTCCTTCATGAAGTTAAATGAGGGAATCTACATGAGAATCAGTTGTAAAGATTGGGGTACAGGAAGGAGAGACTGCCATCTTGTTCCCTGGATGGATGCTTGAGATGTTGTAGAAACCTGAAGTCCCACTCTGGTGGTGCTAATGGAGTAAAATGTGAAAAGTTTATGTGAAAGAAGTTGGTATGTGCTTCTTGAAGATTTGGAATGTACCAAGAACACATATACCGATGCCTAGTTCTGGTCTGGAAATTTCAAGGCAGAAAATTTTTGGAGTAATCTGTGACAGTGAGGCTTAAAGTATAGTGTGCTTGTTCCAATAGTCCATGACCCTGGAAGAGTGCAGAAAGGAGAACCTCGGTGTCTCCTTGGTTTCACATGAAGGAGCATGGAGGTTAGTGGAGGGGCTGGAACTTCCCTAGGTACCACTGAGCCAAGTGATGGAATGTCCAACCAGAGAATAACCTGGAGCATGTTCCACTGAGGTGACAAATGGAAGATATTTCTGCTCCTCTGAAGGGGCTCTTGGTAGCAAAGGAGGCAGGACAAAGCTGAACATTTCCCAAGAAAACTGCACTTGTCTCTCATGTAGAGACTACCATCAGTAGAGGACAGAGCCAGTTTCACAGGCATGCAATCAGTGGAGTTGCACAGGGCTTCACACTCAAAAGGACCCCGTGCTTAGGGTTTAATGTTTTGCAGTTGCTGTCTTGAAATTCTTAATAGCTTTATCTTTGAATTTATGTTTTGTAAATTAAGTCCTATAGGACAATGGCACATGCCTCGGGGGCTTAGGGCCTCACTTGGGCTGGATTCTGTCTCCCACTGCCTCCTCAGATGAGTTCTTAGCTGTTGTCTCGTCTACCATCTGGTGGCCTGGGCCCTGCCTGGCCTCCCTGTCCCGGCTCCTGCCCTAACATTGCTGCCTGGTGGTTGACTGGGTCATATTGATGGAGGAAGGCCCATGTTCTGCTGTTGTCCTCCAACGCCAGGTGGAGGCTTAGGTGCCAGCAGAGAGGGTCAGGATTCGGTGCATGTGCAGCATTCTGGGGTGGGGTATGGTGGCAAGCCTTGACCTACACCCAGTCCAGGTACTGAGTACATCCTGCCTGGAAGTTGCAATCCCTTGAGGTTGCCTGTTTACCATGGCAACATCATGACAAACAGAGACAGAGAGACAGAATGGGAAAAAAGGAAAAGTTTTATATTTTAGTGTCTTTAATGGCACTTTTTTCTTGCTTTTTTCGTTTTGCACTGGGCCCCTACAAATTATGTAGAGGCCACTAGTGTTGAATGGAACCAAACTTACCCTGAACAATACAAGTTTTATTTCCTCACCATTGATGGGCTTTGGCCAATCACGTAAAGAGAGTTTTGCTTTCCTTGTTTTTCTTGCTTGTCCCCAGTGCCATCAGGCCTAAAAGAGGAAGGGGGAGGAGGTGTGCCAGAGTCAAACCACTCCTTCCCCTTAACCCTTTTACCTAATCCAGTGAATAAACTAGTAAAAAAACAAACAAAAAAAACAATTTTCTGAAGGGCCAGTTGATAAGCAAGTGTACCCCCCCACCCCATCAGATCGATAATGGTAACTATTATGTTAGTTTTCTTCTGGGAAACACAGGATATAATTTACCCAATTATTTGCAAGTAGCTGTTATTAGGAATGTCTCCTAAACCATTTAAAGGAGTTGAAACTTAGATTTTTAGGGTGAACAAAATATTAGAGATTAGCTAATTTCACAGAAAAGCTAATTTCATAAAAAATGTAAGCTTACTGGAATTAGTGGCAAAACTGGGAGTAAGTTTTTGTTACGATCTAATCCAGCACTATTTCTACAACATTACACTGTTAAGGTATTATTCCTTGATCTATGAGACCTACCGATTTTATTAGCTCAGTTATACTTACACTAAACCAAAAAAAGAAACCAAACCCGTTGCGGTCGAGCCAATTCTGACTCATAGCAACCCTATAGGACAGAGTAGAACTGCCCCATAGGGTTTCTAAGGAGTAGCTGGTGGATTTCAACTGCCGACCTTTTGGTTAGCAGCTGAGCTCTTAGCCACTGAGCCACCAGGGCCCTTAAATTGCCCGTTGATAAACTCTCAGGATTTATGTATTGTTGGACTACAGTAATCAGAGAAATATAGTCATGTGTTTCTTTGAGATAATGGTATCTATAAATGTGGTTCCAGGATCTTGTAATTATGACTGCCAATATCTTAGATATTCCAAATGTCTTTCCTCTTTAACTAGCCACAGGTATCATCTGAGCCTTTATATTTGTTGTTGTTGTGTGCTGTAGAGTCTCTCCAGACTCGTAGTGACCCTGTTGGATAGAGTAAAACTGCCCATTAGGGTTTCCAAGGCTGTAATCTTTATGGAAGCAGACTGCCACATCTTTCTCCCAAAGAGCGGCTAGTGGGTTCAAACTGCCAACCTTTCAGTTAGCAGCCAAGCACTCAACCACTGTGCCACCAGGGGTCCTCTTGATAGTATGTAGTCAAGCTGAATTTCATGCAGTAAAATTTCAAACAAGGTATTGGCAAGAATAGGACAGAATTGTCAGCTTTTTATTTCGATAAGCAAGAACTTTAAAACAAGCGATATTATTCATCATCACTCTCATTTTATAAAAGAGAACATTTTAACAACAAAAGTATATATATTAAGGACATAATCTCAGAAGAAAGGATAGTCCTTTACAAGAAAAGACATTTGATAACCTTATATTGACATTTTTTGCCATGGACTAGTGAAAATTTTGTCATGGATCAGTACTTATCTGCAGGCTGGTGTTTGAGAACCACTGATATATAGTATAACAAAATATTAATGCTGAGCTGATGCTGAGGCTTGTGCTGCGTAGATATCTCAAGTGTTTTCTCAAGGAGCATTCTAATTCTACCTGTACTAAAAGGGATCATTACTCTTGATAATGACCTCCTGTTTTCCAATGCTCTGTAATCATGCTGTCTTCTGTTCTATTTTTATTTTTTAGTAGTACAATTTGGAGAATGGAGGCCTAAATTCTCATTACAGAAAATATTCTCTATTATGATTCATAGTTTAATCCAGATATATAAGCATAATTATGCTCCTGTAGTCATAGTTTTAGCATAGTATTAATAAGCATAATTTACTTAGGTTTTGGTAGATTAAACCATTAGCAGATGGTTTTATTTTAACCTTCCACAGTATCCATTTTTTGCAGAGACAGTTTTCAGATTTGTTAGTCCAGATGCAAATAATACCAAATAATTTCCCAATAGACTATAAACTACATGAGGATGGTAACATTTGCCTCTCTTTTTCACTGATGTAGCACAAGAGCTTAAAATAGTGTCTGGCACACAGTAGAAGCTCATTAAATTTTATTAAATGAATGAATGATTAATTGATGAATAAATTCTCAAGTTCAGATATTGCATGTCAGGGCTTCTGGTTAAACATTTTGAATTGAACGCACATATTCACTTCCACCTTCTTCTGAAACAGCAATAAAATGGCATTTATTTAAAGGTCATAAATCCAGAAGGACAAGAAAATAGGGAGAGGAAACAATAAAAATAAAGTTTTAAAAGTGGGAACCAGATGAACAGTAATTTACTTAGTACATGACGGTGAGTAGAAACCTAAGCCAAAGATGCAGAAATAGTCAGGAATTGCAAGCATCATGTGCCTCTGGAAGTAATGTGTGTAACTGAAGCCCAAAACTGGAAGATCTGTATCAGAAGCCATTGCACTCCCAGATTCTCTTCTCCATCCTGTACAAGTAAGCACTGCCCCTCTCCTACTTGGCAGAAGACTGAAGGTTTACTTTGGAGAATTTGAGGGACAGCTGAGGTAGGAGGGATCCAGTGGTGTGCTGAAGCCAGCTTGTACCAGTGAAATCTAATTGGACATTAAGGAATGATTAAATCAGCAGTAGCTTGAAATTGACCATGGTGAGAGTATTTAACACTAAGGAAATTGGCAGATGCTGCAAATCAGGCTGCCCTTCCATCCCCTGAAACCAGTTTACCAGCACACCACTGGGAGTATTATATTGCAAACAGAGTGAAAAGTCCAAATGCTGAATGGTGAGACCTCCCAGCCCACTTTCCCCATTCAGAGTCCAGCTAGGCTTGTAACTCTCAGGCAGGAGAATGGAAGATTCTTTTCTGGGGAAACTAAGAGAAAGAGTATAGATGCTTCAGTTAAGCTCTCCCAGTGAAAAAGCCCAGCCAGATCAACCTACAGTGAAGCCCACCATTTTGCAAAACTTTCAGCCAGCTTTTAGTACCTCATTTGAATAATAGTCATATTAACTGGTCTTCCTTGTAGGTGTATGGATATTATCCTGTCACTGACAGTGTTGTACTTCAGAATAGATCTTGAAATGTTCTTTTTGACGATGAATGCAATGCCATTGCTCTTCAATTTGTCATTCCGAGCACAGTGGACCATATGATTATCCAATTGAAAATGGCCAATACCAGTCCATTTCAGCTCTAGGATATTGATCTTTCACATTTGATGACTTCCAGTTTTCCTAGATTTGTACTTCCTACATTCCACATTCTGATTATGAATGGATGTTTGCAGCTGTTTCTTCTCATTTTGAGTTATACCACATCAGCAAATGAAGGTCTCAAAAGCTTTACTCCATTCGTGTCATTAAGGTCAACTCTACTTTGAGGAGGCAGCTCTTCCCTAGTCGTACTTGGAGTGCCTTCCCACCTGAGGGTCTCATCTTCCGGCCCTATAAAAGACAGTGCTTCACTGTTACTCATAAGGTTTTCACTGGCCAATTTTTTTTTAGGAGTTGATCGCCAGGTCCTTCTTCCTAGTCTTTCTTAGTCTGGAAGCTCCACTGAAATGTGTCCACTGTGGGTGACCCTGGTGGTATTTGAAATACTGATAGCATAGCTTACAGCATCACAGCAACACACAAGCCACCAGTGTGACAAACTGACAGACGAGTGGTGAATCTATTAATTATACAGCATTGTAAATATTCTAGAAAAGCCCTGTTATTATTTGTACCTAGAAATTAAAAAGGAAACATAACTTTTATATAAACCATTATCCTGAAGTAAAGGCAATTAAAAATAGGTATTCATTGAGTGCTCTCAAAGTGCATAGCTCTTTAGGAGCTAGAAAACAGAATCTTCTTGTTAAAGTTACATGTGTTTTAAAATGCTTTTAATTAGATTAGTTGCCATAATTTTGCATATTTATATATTTATTGATTGATTGATATTATAGATGTTATTGGGAACTCTTTAAGTAAGCAGAATACTATGCAGACTTTAAAATTAGGTAAATCGGTATGTAATGATATGGAAAGTAACACACGTTATTAGTTTTTTTTTAAAGCTGATTACAGAGCAGTACAGAACTATGATATGGTTTCATCTGTATTTTTAAAGATATAATATACTTGTATGCTTATAGATAATTTCTGGAAGGTTGCAAAAGAAACTGCTAGAGTGGTTATTTCTGGGAGGAGAACTGGAGAACTTTTTCTTTGTATATCATTTTGTGTGGCTTGAAATTTTTACTCTGTGTACGTAGCTTTAATAATAAACAAATGAACTTAAAAATTACAGATGTGTTGGACATGTAGGTAAGAGTTCTTACTATTTTTCTTTTATAGAAGTTTACTTAGATTATCAACAGACATTGAAGAAACCTAGTAATGTTGGCGATACTGATTTAATAGCTTTAAAACTTACCTTGTCTTAGAAAACACTTGGTAGTATTTTTAATCTTTAAGGTTTTTTTTTAGGGAAAGATAGTGATTTTTATTGTGTTAATTTAATGAAGTAATTAGGTTAATACAGTAAATATTTAATCTCTATTAAAAATGTGTTAATTTGAAATTAAAAATTAAAATTGTATTTAAGAGTTTTCTAGCCACTTAATTTCTAGAATAAATAGATAAGAAAAAAATATTCTGTGGTAGTTAATTTTTTTTAGTAAGGTAAGGCTGGATTATGCTACATTTTATATTTTTCAGTGCTGTACTTTATATTACTCTTTCAGTACATTAAAACTTATGCAGTGAAACTGAATAATGGCAATGTTTTTATACCCTTTTATAGCCATTTCTTTTTCATAACCTCCCCCTATTTCCTGTTAGCTAAACTATAAGCACCTTTCTGTTAATTTATGAAAATTATTGTTGAGATAACACATTATCACTGATCTGTATGGCAGTTTCAGCATGTTAAAAGCAAAGGTCCAAGCAACATAAAACACATCAAAGTTCATTAATGTGGTATTGATTATTTTTTGGATAATTAATTTTATTGCAGACCCTTGAAAGAGATAATGAGCTGCAAAGGGAGAAGGTAAGAGAAAATGAAGAAAAGTTCCTTATTCTTCAAAATGAGCATGAGAAAGCACTAGGAACCTGGAGAAAACATGTAGGTTTATTAAATAGTAAACTAGTAAAATATTTTTGGTAGTTATAGACATTTAAAATAACTATTAAAGGCTAAGCAAATATTGCAAAAATAATACAGGAATAAAAGTCAGACACATTTTCTTCTTGCACTCATGTTTCCAAAGAAATGAATGCTTTTTAAAAACTAAATTTAATAAAATTTCCTGTAATGTTTTCATGCATGGAAGACCACATATATATAAGTTTGTGTGTGTGTGTGTAATTTGAATGATCTCTCATGTAACAAAGAAAAATTAATTTACTTTTTCAGAAAACCATTGCATAGTATTTTATTACATGATTGAAGTAAAGAAGTATATAGGTATTGTTAGCTGATAAATATTTAGCTTTCCTCAGCAGTTTTTTTGAGATGTATTAAAGCCATTTTAGACCACGTATACTGTAGTCAAGTTGTGTGATACTAACATTTTATCGTAAGAGTTTGTTATAAACTTTAAAATACGTTATAAACATGGCTGTTTCCTTAAACTGTATCTCTTTATTTTATGCTAATTTTTAATTTCGATGAAGTAGATGATAATAGTGTAAAGTGATGCAAATTAAAGTTGTGAAATATGAAGTTTCACTTTAAAGATTGGTGGACACCAAAATTGGTTATTCTATTTTAAGATCTGTTTTCATTGCCTTTCAATTCTATTTAAAGAATTAACACTAGGAAGTCACTATTTATGAGTTTTTTAAAGCTATATTTTGGGAAAGTAAAATTATATTTTAGATTATTATACAAATGGCCAACAAGTATTAATAATATCTCAAATACCAGACTGATAACATTTTCTGTAGGTGATTTATGTTTGATTTAAATTACATAATATAATTCTTGATTTTCAATTAATTTTCAGCTAATGTGTTCTCATTAATTTATGCTAGAGAGATCAAGTCTTCACTGATGATTTTGATAAGCTTTACTCAATTCTAAGAAAAATTCTGATGTAACTTAATCATTTGCACCAGAATACTTAAGGATATGTTATAATTAAATCAAATTAAATAGTTTGTGATTACCTGCATCAGAATACTCAAAAATGGTTAATAATGTCTAAACTAGTAAAAAAAAAAAACTGAATCTTTTCTAAATGCAACTTTTTGGATATTTGATATATGGTTTTTCACATTTTATAAAAATAGTTTATTATTAAGCAACAGGCATAGTAATCTTCATTTTAGCTTATAACCCACATTCCATTCCGCTTCTTCTTATCCCCAGTGAATTTTTTTGTTTAAAAAGCCATGGAAATACTACTCTCAGGATAAAGAAAACTTTATAAAGCGAAAAGGGAACATGAACTTCAGTATGCCAAATGTACTCCCCCCCCCAAAAAAAAAAAATCAGTTGAGCTAAGCAAATTAAACATTCATTTTTTCTGGTGAGGCCAAAATCATGCACCTCCCCTAAGGAAAAAAAGTAATTGATTTAAGAAAATAAGCATTCAGTTTCACTGGTGAGACCTCAATATATCAGTTTTGTTCTAGAATTTTTAGATTATACAATCATTTTACCTCCATAATGTTTTAGTATAGTTGAAGAAGAAAATGCTGCTTTGGTTCTATATGAGTTTTCTTGAATGTGGACGGTGTCAGATCTATTCTCTAATTGTATTTCTATCTCTGTGTAAGTTTTTCATCATTCTTAAATGAAGGGGAATTATAGTATGGCTAGTAAGATGAGGTCCAGATGAGTTAAAAAGAATAATAAAGATACTGACAAAAATAAGTTAGAATCACATAAATTGCTCTTTTATATTTGGCTCTTCAAAAAATAAGCAGTGAGGGAAAATACTATACAAATACATAACAATACTATTAAATGATATATTTAAAATTCATTGAAATATTATAGAGAATGGTATTATATGTATCTATTTTGATTTTAGCTAGTTAGGTGCTCATTCTCAACTCTTCCCTATCCCATACTACTGTCGTTCCATTTAAGAAAGAATGGGAAGAATCATGGAAGCATGAAAATTTGCATTTTCAAGAGTGATGAATAGTCTACTCTGAATAAAGCATAGGATATGTGGAATGTGACATTGGAAAATTAGTTGAGATCTGCTTTTTGAAAGGCTCCTCAATAAGACAGTTGAATTTTATTTTATAGGTAATGGGAAGCCATTCAGAGATTTTAAGCAGAGAAGTGATGTAGACAGAGTTGTGTTTTAGAAAAACAACTCTAACAACAGTATGGAAGATGGCTTTATGGAAAGAGACCAGTAAGAATAATATTGCAGTAATCTAGCCATGAGCCTATGAGGGTGTGAATTCTGGCAATAGTAGTGAGAACAGAGATAGAGGTAGGAGGCATTTGGGAAATAGAATTGGCAGGGTTAGTGACATTTTATATATAATGAGTATTGAAAGGGAAAAAGTCAACTATGACTCCAAGATTAGTATGACTAAAGAATGATAATGTCATTAACTGACATAAGGAATGTAAAAGGAGAAGCAGACTTGGTGGATGAAAATAATTAGTTTACTTTGGGAACTGTTGAATTTATAGTGCCTGCAAGCTTGGACAAGATATGAATCTAATCTTAGGAGAGAGGTTGGGGAAGGAGATACAGATTTAAGATTTATTAGCATAAAGATGAAATTTGAAGCTATAGGAGTAATAAGATTGTCTATGAAGGAGTAGAAGCCTTGAAAAGAAGAGGGCTAAAGAAAGCACCTTGGGGAATGCCAGCATTTTCTGAGAGGGGAGCTGAGAAAGGGAGGAGGATAAAGAGAGAGTAGTACCATGGAAGTCAAGAGAACAGGCTGTTTAAAGAACAGAGTAGTCAACAGTCAAATGCTACAGAGCTGCTAAGTAGTATGAGTACTTGAGAAAACCCTTTTGCTTATTTGTGGGTGATACTAGAGAAAATGATTGGTAGAAGAGTGCAGGCAGAAGTCAGGTTGTTAAGGAGTGATGAGAGGTTAGAATTTGAAAATAGCAAGTGTGGACTGTTTATTTTAAGAAACGAGAGAGACAGCGTAGTTGAGTCCAGGAGGAAAAAATTAGGAATGTGAGACGAGCGTATTTGTAGGCTGAGGGGAAGATGCTGGTGTACTGGAAGCTACTAAGAATAGGCAGAAGAGAGGAGATAATTGCTAGAGCTAGGACTCGGGGAGATAAGAGAGAAAGAACGGGAATATTACACACATTTGTGGGATTTATGGTAGGAGTTTTAAAATTGTTTAAGAGAAACTTTTATAATCTTCCATGACAAAGGGGTATTTCCTCCTCAGTGAAACTTACCTTGTCTCATATTTGAGGTTCCCATGAGAGAGTACACCTTGGTTTATGAGATTTTATAGCTATTGAGAGCCCAATTTGTAGATGTAAATAATTAGGTTGAAATGTCTGTTTCTATTGTGCTACTGCTTAGTACTCACCTAGTTGAGTTAAAATCTGATATCCAATTTGCAACAAGAAAATAGAACTTTCAAGAAGCAATGAAGGTGTAAATTCTATAGAATTTTTATGATTAAAATAATTTCATCATTTTTCATTTGTAACAAGAGGTAGTTTAATGTGGTAATTAAGAACACAGTCCTTAGATTTAGCTTTGGATTTAAATCCTGACTGCGAGGTTATATCCATGTGATCTTGGACAAGTTGTTTGACTTCTGTGGGCTTCATATTTCTCACCTGCAAATTAGGGATAAAAATACCTCATAGGGTTTTTATGAGTCAGAAATTATGTTTATTAGTACTCAGCACAATGCGTAGTACATAGTAAGCATTCAATAAATAGTAGCTTTTAATATTAATAATTACTTTGGGATTTTTTTACTTGTTACTATTTCACAAAACTTGTGTTAGTGAAGTATTTTCATACAAAAAATGTTTATAGTTAATTTTGGTTAAATTTTATAATAGGTTGAAGAACTTAATGGAGAAATGAATGAGATTAAAAATGAATTATCATCACTTAAAGAAACTCATATTAAGTTACAAGAACATTATAACCAAATATGTGATCAGAAGAAGTTTGAGGAAGACAAGAAGTTTCAGGTAAAATTCAAGTGTTTTGGGGTACAGAACTCTTAAAGAAATTATCATCGTCACTGAAGATTTTCTCCCTGCTTTATATTTTCAGTTTCTCAACTTAAAAAAAAAAAATGAGTGTGAGCAAGTGGTCTATAATACATTTTTAGTTAATTTTTGTGTACAGCGTGAAGTAAGGGTTAATGCTGTTTTTTATAGATTTCCAGTTGTTCCAGCATGCACATATGTTGAAAATACTGTTCTTTTTTTTTTTTTTTTTTGGCTTTAACAAAGAGAAATTTATTTTCTCATAGTCTAGTAGGCTACAAGTCCAAATTTGGGGTGTCAGTTCCAGGGGAAGGCTTTCTCTCTCTG